ATCATGCACACGTTCCTCACGTGGACATGAAATCTCTGCCGGGCTTCGAGCCAGTCCTCAGTGTTCTTCACGATGCTGGATTGCTGAATTTGTGCACTGACATCTGTGATTGGAATGAAGAACTCATTCTTCAATTCTATGCGACACTGCACATCACAGGAAATTCTGAAGATGTAAACTCATGGGTGCTGGACTGGATGTCAGAAAATACTCACTACAAGGCACCAGCAACTGAATTGCTTCATGCCCTCCCACTCAGTCCTCCCCTTGAAGGTGCTCGTTACATCTACAACGAACCTGAGCTTACAAATCATTACATGCAAGTGCTGATGAAGCCTTTGAAGCCAGGGCAGGCCCCTCGAACCAAATTCCTCGTCAAGGAATTATTGTATGTGCCACGGACTGTCTATCGCATTCTGACGAAGACAATGATTCTTATCAAAGGCCATGACTCAAATGATGAAGAAGTCGTTGGAATCATGAAGAATATGCTTTTCAATACCATTCATGGCGTTCCCAACTTCCATGATTTCTTCATGAGGACTTTGGTGAATATTGCTATGTCACCATTTGAGCTGAAGCCTTATGCACCATGGATTATGAGGTTCATCAGGACAAGGTCTTCACTCAATTACAAGGCTGATACTTTGAACCACGGCAGCTACTTGCCTCCAATTGAAGTCCTCAAACGGACATTTTTCTCAGCTGATGAGAATGGCAAGGCAACTGCTGTGATAGATGAAGGCATTCGTTCATTGGATGGTCAATTTCGCAAGGCTGCATCCTACTCCACCAATGATGACTTTGCCACACATGACTCTGCCGCCAACATCTCTGCCAAGCAAATTCCTCAAGCCACAGCACCCAGGGTGATGACTGATCGTGAGTTACTCCCGAGTCTTCATTAGAAAGTTGATCGCAATCATAAATGGGTCAAGCGTCAGTTTGGTTCAATTCTTCACAACATGACCTCAACACACAATGCAGTGAAGAAAAACCACTACTACCTCCATGAAACCTTCAACCGTACCTGGGCTGTCCTATCTCATGTCTACAGTGCAGAAGATCTGAAGAGAATGGGTCTCAAGGAAGAATTTGACTGGTCTGCACCTCCACTGAAGAAATTCAAGAAGGTCAAGGTTCCTTCCTTGGTGGACAGCTCCTATTCTTCATTGCGCGACACTAATGAAAATGAGGACTTGGACGACACTGCGGCAAGCCCTACTACGACAACCGACCCCGACAACGCTGACGCTCCTCCATCACCTTGATATTCTTCAAGGGTGTTAGTCCTCAGTTTCGATCCTTTTGGTCATTCGATGACAAAGGGGGAGAAATTTGAGTTAGTCTTCAAGCGGGTCTATTATATGGGCGTTTTTTTGCTAAGTTACAACTCTCGCTCTTCTAAAACTTTTATTGGATCAAGTTGTAATCTTAAACCCGATGGTGCTCTGATACTCTTGATGTGTTCCTATGCATGCTTATTCTTCGTAATATGTTAATACACGCATGCTGAATTACATCAGTCACCATATTTCATCATGCATTTCAAATTCTTCATATTATATGTAGAATGTGTGTATGAATTACAAGATATAGGGGGAGATCTCCATGATTCAACTCTTCAAATGTGCATTGCCTCAAAAGCAAATTCCTCACTATGCACATCTTTAGGGGGAGTTCTTCTATATCTTGCAATCAAATTCCTCAATATCAGTACTTACACTTCATATGTTTATCCCTGTGGAAAACTTAACCTATATTGTCATCAATCACCAAAAAGGGAGAGATTGTAAGTGCATCTAGTGCCCCTTAGTGATTTTGGTGAATTGAAGACTTATAGGTTAAGGGACTAATGTGTTTATGAGTGTACACAGGTCTATAAGTCTATGAGGAGTTTGATATTTATAGAGAAAGTCGACCCCTAAAAATGAAGTTCTTCGACTGAAGACTTTGATATTCTGAAGACTTTCTGAAGACTTTGAAAGTGAAGAAATTGGTGTGACCTTGAAGACTTGGTATTCATTTAAGAAACATGAAGCGTGAAGACTTTTGTTTTCGTTGTTTCATTTTTCTCTTTCTTGAGTCATAGGAAACACCGTACTGTTAAAGAGGGTCGAGGAAATACTAAGGAAAAATTTCCATGTGACGCTCAACTCAAAATCCTACACCTACCAATCCCTTCGAGTGAAGCCTTTGGAAATCTCATACAGTTCAGTCAATTTCTTCAATGACAGAGACGAAGTTCTTCTGGTCGCTGAGGAATTTGTTCTGACTGAGGAGTTAGGAATTTGCCAGTGCGGATTGCCTACACAGTGAGGAACATGATAGCCCTGAGGAATTTGAGAGTCAAATTTCCGACCGTTGCTGTGCTGTGCGCCAGCTGTCCCAAAATATCTTATCCACCTAACGGCCATGTCATTGAAGGGCATTTATGTCTTATCATGTCGGGCTGCTCCATAGGCTATAAATAGCCGCCCCCTACAACCACTAGCTGGTTGGCTGCTCCGAGAGAAACTGACACTTGTCATTTGAGAGCATCCCATCCTCTGAGGACTTTGAGCGAAAATCATCGAGTGAGGAAAAACCCAAACCCAAACACCTACAAACCCAAAGTGATTGAGCATCACTTAAGAGATTGATACTGTGTGGATCCGACGCTTGTTACCTTTGAAGACTGTGCTTTTTCCAGACGGTTAGGCGTCATGGTCTAGAGCATCCAAGAGGAATTGTGGATCGCTGAGTGACCGAGTCTGTGAAGGTTTGGAAGTCGCCTGAAGACTTGCCATGAGTGATTGGACGAGGTCTGTGTGACCTTAGTTCAAGGAGAATACGGTGAGGACTTGGTGTCCTGAGCTGCGTGCTCAGCGACTAGGTGTCCGGGGCTGTGTGTCCTCGAGTTTAAATACTCAACCGCCCCAACCAGACGTACAACTGAGACAACAGTTGGAACTGGTCTACCAAATCATTGTCTTCACCAACCTTACTGGTTCTATTTCCTCAACTCTTTCATTTCCTCATTACTGTGTTGAGTGATTGTTCATATCTGTGTTTGAAGACTTTGACTGAAGACTTTCTCAATTTCCTCAGTTTAATTTCTTTAGTCTGTTTGTCTTCATCTTGTGTTATCCTGTGATTACGCTTTCTGTACTCTGTGCTTGTCTTCATTTCATCATGATGACTATGTCTGTATTCTGTTATGCTTACTTCTGAGTACTTATTCCGCTGCAAGTAGTTCTTCGCTAAGGAATTTCCTCACCGGCAAATTCCTCAGTGAAGAATTCATAAAAATCGCCTATTCACCCCCCTCTAGTCGATATAACGCACTTTCACTTTGAAGCAGAGATGTAGTCCTGCAGAACATCTTTTGAAGAACACACTTATATGAGTCTGATTGTTAAACGTCGCAATCTATGAGAGTAGGGTTATCTCTAGTAAACTCATGAAAGGTCTCGGAGTATGACGCATAAACTCCACCCGCGGGGAAGACCCACGGTAGCCATGTATCGGTCAAGGCTTTATGTGAAGCTAGATTCGCAGAAAAGTTCAAGGCCCAGTCCACTGTTCAACTTGCTTAATAATGTAGCATAGAGTTCTAGGTGGAAATTCAACTTAACGGTCTCCACTGCAGTACCGGTATATAAAACAGTGTTTTGGAACCAAAGGCAAATTTTGTGTGCCTCTGGGATCCGGTGGGGGTTTGCTGGAATTTTTGTCTATTTGGGCCTAGCCCAATAGCAGTTTCAGAAATTCCTAATAAATCCTAGAGGTCCACGCAGGCCATTCGTGCAAGGCAAGAGGTGGAACTAAAGTCTAGTCCCACATTGCTAGTTTAGAGGGAGTTGGACCTCTTTATAAGGGAGGTTCTTTCCCCACTTGTATGAGCATGAGAACAAGAGGGACATCCACGCGCGCTCCTCATCCGCCGCCCGCCTCACCACGCCTCGTCACGACGCGCCGCGGGTTGCGGGAATGAACCGATGTCTAAATTTTTGCCACGCACTACGGGTATACGAAAGTTCACTCGAGAGTTGAGAAGTTTTGCTGTAGTGGATATTGAATACGAACATTGCACCCTTCGGCTGCTACCTGTTCATTTCGTCTCTCCCGTTCCCTTCAGCTCCCGGCGCAGCCTTTCGCCTCCTTCTCTTGCACCTATAAAAGGGAGGTCGCTCCTCAGAGAGACGCATCGAAACTACTTCCTCCTCTCGCCACCGGTTCCTGAGCATTGCGCTGCTGCTACGATCTTCCCCATCCCGGCTTGCGGCATGCACCGCAGGTCGGGACAGTAGGCCTCCGAAACCGCACCTTTTGAGTCCTGTACGGGAGAAGGGTGATAAGGTTTTTGGGGAGCGCTCTGCGCGACTACTGACTCCACTCCTTCGTCACGGACTCCGACGACTACTTCCCCGGCGACGACTTCTTCCCCGATGTCGACAACCTCCTCGACGACATGGCTGACGAGGATACCGACCCCAAGTCCAGTGCTACCGCTACTACTGTTGTCCCGTATGTGTTCTTACTCCTTCTGTTAGAGGTCATGTTCTTACTCCTTCTGTTAGAGGTCATGTCACAGTTCCTTGCTCTACTGTTTGCCCTACATATGTTAGACTCTACTTCATATATGCTGCTTGCCCTAAATATATTTGCCTACAGTTCATACGTGAAGATGATATTTACCTTCTCTCTGTCAGATCGCATGACTTGCTTTATCTCTCCTATTTTAGTCATGCTTTATTCAGTATTTCGGTTAATAAAATCATATGGCAAATTGCTCATATTTCCAACATATACCCTTCTTATCTCGGCCAGAAAAATCTAAAAAAAATTGTACACCGACCAACAGCAAACGTATTATTGATCATAGCGCCACGAAAACAAAAGCAGTCTCCGCACGTGACGAACAGGACAGTGACCTGACGAGATTACTCAAATTATGTACAAATCGAACAACAACAGAGTTTGCTGCAAACCGTGCCTGAGCCGCAACATAGCCGACTTCACGCGCCATCTTCCTTCGGTTTCTGGCTCAGCTCCGCGTACTGGCCTCCCATCAGCTGCAGCACCTCGCTCCAAAGGCACGAAGGGTCCGTCGTCACCGCGTCGGTGATCAGGCCCGAGCTGCAGGAGGTGACAACCCAGTACCCCGCGTCGATCTCGCTCAGCAGCTGATCGTGGTCCCAGGCGGAGTACCCGACGTAGAACTTGAGGTCCTCGGGGTTGAGCGCGTCGTTCTTCATCAGGTGACCGACCTTCTGCAGGTCGGTTCTGAAACCGAAGCAGACGCCCGGGGCCACCTCCTCGAACCCCTTGATGGGCCTGCCCTCGTTGGTCCTCATCAGGAATATGCTCATGTCGACGGGGCCTCCGAAGAAGAGGGAGCAGTCGCCGAAAGGCGTCGCTTGGTCGCGGAAGGATGGGTTCACGTGTTTCATCTTCGTGTAGAGTGGCCGGTTCAGGATGACGCCGAATGGGCCGTCGTAGGCGTCTCTTGAACCTAGTTTGAGGAGGAGGATGACGGTTCTTTCGAAGGTACCGTTCCCGTCAAGCTCTTCCGTGGCGACCAGCACACAGCCAGACTCTGGTGCAGAAATAGAATGGGCCCATTTCCGAGGAAGACAGTGTACTGGTCCATCGAATGATGTCTGTGGTAGTGTATTTACATCGACTGCTTGCTCCTGGTTTTAAGACATGATGAAGAATTAATTAGAAACAAATATTACAGGGGGAAGACTTAGAAGAGATTAGATAAACTAAATCAGCACTAAGTAGCAGGCAGACACAGAACAAATTACGTATTTTATGTACAGTTACGACAAAACGGAAGAATTTCAGGACAAGCAAAAAGGTAAATAAGGCAATTCTTCTGTAGAAATAGCACACTGACAATCTTGTTGCTGCATAGAAATGCTCTAGCCTTTTGGTGTTTAAAGGTGAAAAAATTAGACTCCTCTATTATACTGCCAGGAAGCAGGAATGGAGTTAAAAGAAGATTCGTAGTGAGAACCTTGAAGAAATAAAATGTCAGCGCGTGCTACATACTCTGACATAGTTGAGAGTGCAATCTCAAAGTTGGAGGAACATTGACGTACTTACTGGAGTAGGTCATAGTTGAGAGCGTAATCTCAAAGTCCTCCAGAAAAAAGAAAAAATGAGAAAATTTTCAACTAGGATCAGAAGTTGACTCTAGAATACTTCGAACAAAACGTGTGATATGGACAATCCAATACACTTAGCTTTTCTTAAGTTTCCAAGTTCTCATGGAGCTCTTCTCCAGTATGATGTTGGGTGAACACACAGGCTAACTGAACCTACACAAGTGCATTCTCTCTGATATGATGCCAACTAATAATATAATGAAGAAAAATATATTTCCAGCAATTCAGTCAAGGCTATGCCAGTTAAGCCACTACTAAATAATCACTTAAAAGGACCATACATAATATCTAGCACGAACGGAATTCATAAAGCTAGATCATGTACTTTGCAAATACTGAGTTCTACAAGATAATGGAGAAAATTTTTCAGAATAAATAAATAATGGAGGGCGACAGTTGGAATAAACTAGTCCAAAAGGATTGGACTTACCGACTTTGGAATCACAAAGCTTGCTCTCACATCTCGCCAATATGACAGGTTGCTTGGTACATACATCGTGTCACTGGATTTCAGTTCCCCGTGATTTTGGCTTACTGCATCGGCATCATCATCTCCAATGGGAGTAGATGCATCACCCTTTCCTGCATTGAGAAACCATCAATTTCAATACATCCTTTAGATAGTTTATCAACACAGTTTAGTTCGTTGCATAGATATTGTAATATTGCATTACATATACCTACAACTGAATAAACACATCAAACCTACCATACTATGCTGATTCAACAATTCACATCTAAGCAAAGCGCGGCTGGGAAAATAAGATTATCGAACAACCATAAGTCCGCTATCTCTCAATCCAAAGCACTCCAGTAAACAAGCTATTAGTATGAGTTTTTAATCACAGACTGCACCGGAAGCGTTTGAACCCCATAAGCTTATCCGCCATCGCAGCAAGAACCTCACCTAGACAGCCAGGCATAAGTGATTCATCATTCTATTACTGTCACCAATTTCTCCAGTGTTTCACTGTTACTAACACCGACCGACCCCTGACGCCAATACGACACGTTCCTATATCGACACTTCCATGGCCCAACCGTAACGATCACGGAAAGGGGAACCAGAATCGCGCAAAGTGACGCGGTCGTATCACCTCGACCCGCATCGAATCGACAAAAAGGTTTGTCCATCTCCCGCATAGAGTCCGTGCAGAGATCCCCACCTTTCCACTAGAATCAAAGGAACAGAGCATGGAACCTCGTAGTAGAAGAATTTTACCGGAAGAGGAGGGCTTGCTCTTGGGGTCGTCCCCGTCGCGGCCGCTCCTGCTCTTCTTCCCCGACGCGCTCACCGCCAGCTTGGGCCACCGCGCCGGCTGCCGCCTCCTCCCGATCTCCCCGGCGGGGAGGGGCGCCCAGGTCGCCGGCGGGTGGCGCCTCGGCCGCGGCGCGAGGAAGGAGGGCCCGGCGGCCTTCAAGTTGAGGGCCCGCATGTCCATGGTCGCGGGGTCGGGTGGGTTGCTAATGCTCGGGCCTTGGGGTCCGTCGGAGCGGAAATATTTAGATCGCGAGAAAGAGAGTGCTCGAGGGCGGAGCTTAACTGGGGGGCTCGACCGTGGGTCCCTGGTGACAGCGAGGGTGGTTGCTTATATAGTTTGGGTCCCAGGACGATAAGTGCATGGATACTGAAATACAGTAGTACTGGAATGTGGCTCTCTCTTCCATTAATAAGCAGGTGGTTCAACAGGAATCGGATGAAACGACGCTGTTATGTCTTAGTAGTACCAATTTTTCGAGTACTAATAGAAACAGTGGACTTGAAAAGAAATGAGCTTAAGTATAAGCACTTTATGTAGCTCGATCCAGAAATAAGGTTGCGTGGTTTTAGCTCGATATCATATAAGTATATTAAACAACCTTCATCTCTATTACAAAGAATTAGGATCATTTATTGCCATATATATTGTGTATGATTCTTTTCTCTTCATTTAGCAAACATGTAAATTATGCGTGGACAAAATTTAGCCTCAATTTGATACATGGCCGGCCATGCGTTGAATATCTTGTAGTTTTGGCCAAAGTTTGAGAGCAGACTTGCCTTCATTTTCTTCTCTTGCTAGTACTCCCTCTGTAAAAAGACATAAGAGCCAAAACGGCCCTCCCCATTTAGATCACTATTTTAATGATCTAAATACACTTATATTTCTTTACGGAAGGAGAACTCGCTAGCTCATCCACAATCTCTTGTTATTAAATACTATTCCCTTTGTTTGTATATCGGTTACATACAGATGCTTCTCGCAAAAAGAAAGATATTACATACGGATGTATATAGACATATATATATATAGAAATACTTTAGAATATAGATTCATTCATTTTGCTTTGTATGTAGTTCATGTTGTAATCTCTAAAATAACTTCTATTTAGAAACGGAGATAGTAGTCTTCAGTCGAGAAAGAAGAAGTCAAATTTTATAGTGATTTTTTATGTTGTGGCTTATCTTGTTTTAAGTTTATCTTAAATTATTTCAAAACTTATTTTATTTAGCTCGAAACCAGCTCGAGATCGTTACAAGTTGAGCACGAGTCACTTTCTACAGCTCGACCTTTAGCATCAGTAATTCTGAGCTCACTCGAATTCTAGTATAAGTTGACT